TATCTTATCGTTGTTTACAACTTCTGGGATGCTGTTCCTGGAAGTTAGCTTGGTGGCATTTTTACTTCAAGGAAATTATGCTAGTGGGTTGGAGGCTTTGACTCGAACATTTGTTGTTTCGGGGCTTATTGTTGGTTTGGACTTACTTCTGAAGGTACTTCTTTTATTCTTGAATATTTTAACCTTCTTTGAAGTTCCATATCTGTTGCTGGTGAATCAGACGGTGGTGGAAAAACAAAACAGTTTCTTTCCTTACTGTACTTTACTAAATAGCAGAGTCACCGATTCCTGTGGCCTATATTTAGATTGTTGACCTACTTTAACTTCTTAAGCAATCTAGAATGCTAAGTATGATTGTTTATACGTGTTTAAGTTGTTTTATTTTCTAATATGGAAAGACACACAATGTTATTCCTTTTTGTGTTTTTCCCCTTTTGAATTCTTTATAATATTTTTGCATCAATGCTTAATATGTTGTGATATTAATATTTCAATGGTCTTTTCCCTCGTTTAGGCTATTTACCTATTTGGATTTGGTGTCCCTATGTTCACTGACAACACCGAACATACACATCAAGTGAAATGGGGCTTGTGGGTTGTTCACAGGCTAGTGCTGACTGCTATTTATGGCTTCATACTGTTTATGTACCACTCTAAGTGGAGAGAAAGGTTACCTGGTATGTTAATCTAAGTCACATACATTTGTGCAGGTTATTTAACAGTAGTTGCATAGTTGTGTCACCTGGAATCTTCTCTCTTATTCTGCAGCAAGACCTGCATTCTACAAATATGTTGCAATCATGTTCATCTTGAATGCACTAGCACTGATTACTTGTGGACTAACTGGAAATGGTGCTAGTTTTGGGTTTTGGTAAATACAAGCTTGATGCCCTTTTTTAATTGAAGAATTATGTTTGTTATTTATATTGGTATATTATGTTCTTTTCCAAGGGTTTTTTTTTAAAAGAATAGGATTGACAGGTTGTACAGTGCCACAATTGTTTGCTACCACGCCTTGTACCTTCCTCTTCTGTATATAACTTTTCTGGCAGATTTTTTCCAGGTAATCATTTATTTCGGATTCATAGCAAAAATTTTATCTTGTTATTGATTCTTTAGCACCTTATAATATGTTAGTACGGTAAAAGTATCTCCAATGCCTGCAGGAGGAAGACTTGCACTTAGAGAATGTGTACTTTCAGAGATGAAAGATGCTGGTTTCTTTGATGCTGACTGGGAGTGAGCACTGTATCAACTTTGAATTACTAGATTCCCTTTTCGTTAGGATCTGTAAATGAAATTAAATGCAATTCAGATTGTAAAATGTCTGATCAAAGGATGGTTGATCGATCCATGCATGTAGTATTTATAGATACTGCTCTGGTAATGGCGACAGTAATCCTATAGCTCGTATATTTGTAATAATCTCCTGTTTTATAAATTTAAGTTGATTGCAAATAAAACTTGTCCAATCTTCTTGTAGCAAAAAAACTAGAAGCATTGTGTACGTTCTTGTAGAATTTCTCTTTTAGTTTTTGTGTTATTGTAATAAAATTCCAATTAACAGCTTCATGTTGATGGTGTTTATGCATACTAATAGATTGGTTATCCTTCACGGTTTCCCTTTGCATTATTACCGCAGGTTTGTTGATATTTACTCTTTGCCTCAGCTTAATGGGGCTGAGGCATCAAATATCCGAAACATTAGCCGTATCTTATTCTCTTCGGGCTTCATTGTGTCGGTTTCTTTAAGAGTGTAAATGAAATATTAGTATTTATAAATTATTCGAATTTAATATAAATAAAATTTTAATTTGGATTCAATTATTATCGAGTTGTCGAGTTCGAGTTCGAGTAGCTCGACTTATCGATCGAGTTGATTTTAAGTATTTTTATATTTGATTCGAGTAGTTCACAAGTTTAATTGAATTTTATATTTTAATATATTTTAATTATTTTAATTGATAAAATATTTTAAACTCAAGTATAAATAATTAAGTTTTTATCGAATATAAGAATTGAGTTTATTTTTATATATTAATTAAGATTAATCAAATGAATTTTAATAGTTAAATTTTATTTCGAATCAAACTTAAATTAAAAAAATAAAATTCGATCGAATTTGAAACTTTAAATTTGAAATTAAAATTGATTTAAATTTAATGTATATTTATTCAAACTTTATCGATTACACTCTTAATTTTATCTATGTTAGTGAAGCTACGGACATCTTTTTCTAAGGCCTCAGTTGGATTTAACTGAAGCTTCAGTGTGTTGCGTTTTCTTCACTTTTTTCCTTCAATCTCACCGTGATTCATATTTGGATAACATCAATGATGGTGAGTTTACTAGCGTGAATCGCACTAAAACATCAGTTGAAGACAGGACTTTTGGGGTTCAATGGATAACTAATATCCCAATAAATCTTTTTTATTCACATTATTTTTTTTACATTCTTATCATGCCCTTAAATGAGTTTTTAGTTAAAAAAACCTAAAATATGATTTTTTTAACTTATTTCTCTCTCTTTCTGTTTCTGTCACCATCTTAAATTTTTAACCCTAAATGCCTCCTCCTTCGTATTATCGCCCCTTGCTACTGTCACTTGTTCCATTTCCCCTTGCTATTGTCACTTGTTCCATGTTAAGGACATTAGATAAAAATATTATTTGATATTAAAAAATTTAAAATTTTGTAATTATTTATTAATTTAAAAATATTAAATATATATATTTATTATACATAAATTTTAATTTAATGTTAATATAATATTTTAATAATAATTTTTATTTTTATTATATTTTATTTCACCATTACTATTAATTTTACATTTAAATACATATTTCACTGTTGATATTAATCTCATCATTACAATATTCAATCTCATCATTATATTAACTAATCTCACTATCATCATAAATTTAATCTTACTAAAATCAATTCACTACCTATATAAATGAACCCTAAACTAGCATGAAAAACTTTACATTATGGAGCTTGTTGGATTAATTGTGGGTTAAAATATAAAATATAAAATCATAACTTACTCATTAAAATTTTAATTAAATTAAATCAGACAACTCTCTTTATTTTTATTTTTTATTTATTTTTTTTTCTCGGTTTCAGCGTCACTCCACTTTTACACCTAAACAGCTCCCACTTCTTTATTATTTAAATCTTTCATTTCACGTTAAGTTAAAAAGGCCTTGCCCATGAATGGTCAAAACCAAAGAACGAGGCAAGACCCCACGTTCTTAACATCTTTTGCAATGGACCGACAATCGGGCATTACGCTTAAAAGTTTAAAGTTGAAATTTTGAACTTGATTTATCAGTCTAATACAAAATCAGGTATACAAAATTTATTCGATTTCCACAGCCTAAATTTCAAAAAAAAAAAAAAAAACAAAAAAGAACTTCTTGAATAAAGTAGGAATATACAAAAGTCAACTCTTTTTCCATCAAGATTTTTTCAGAGTATTAACATCAGTATATTGTTGTGTGTTTCATCAATGGAAAGATTGTATTTGTAGGCAAACAAAAAATATGTCATTTTCGATAAATAAATGATAGTGACTTACACTATCATCACGCAGTTGATGCGTCTAATAGTATAAACAAATGATAATGCTTATACCATTATGTACCAATAAAAGGAAAAAAATTAGTGTAATTTTTTAGAGTGAAATTAAATTCTATCATTTTATTAAGATTTTTTACATTTACACATTGAATTTTTAAAATTATATATTATAATTTATATCAATAAAAAAATAAAAAATATATTTTTTTAATTTCATTAAGCATATATATAATTATTAATAAAATTTTAAATTATATTTTTTTATATATTTTTTGTCATATTATGATATATATTTTAAATTCATTAGATCTAATCAAGAATATTTTTTGACCGTGTACATTTT